CCTGTGGGATGGCTCAGTTTTACTGGATGACATATGAAGTCCATAGATACATATTTGAAAGCCTATTACTTTTTATTGTATTAAAGTAAAATGCTCAGCTGAGTTTTTGTTTCATCTTTCTTCTTCTTCTTCTTCTTCTTCTCCTTCTCCTTCTCCTTCTCCTCCTCCTCCTCCTCCTCCTCCTCCTCCTCCTCCTCCTCCTCCTCCTCCTCCTCCTCCTCCTCCTCCTCCTCTTCCTTCTTTTTTTTTTTGAGGCAAGGTCTCCCTACTTGACCCTGGTTGTCCTGAAACTTGCTATATAGACCGAGCTGCCTTAGAATTCATAGAGATCCACCTGTCTCTGCCTTGAGTGCTGGATTTAAAGGCGTGTGCCACCAAGCCTGTCTCAGGTAACTGCTTTTCATACAGAATATAGAAAAGATTGTCTATAGGGTCTGGCTTTAAAATGGCAGCTTTTGTTAATACTGTTTGAAATAAATCCAAATTCAGCCGCTCCTGTAAGGAGAAAGGAATCTTCTTTTAAAATGTATGATGTAAAACATGAGGACGTAGACATGAGGACGTAGACATGAAGACATAGACATGGTATTCACTTTCTGCTTTGTTCCTTATCTGATTAACCACCGGGTCCTCATACTCATCACCGAACATTTGCAAAGCAAAACCTGACTCTGGGCTCTGTGGGTCTCAGTTCATGTCTGAGTCAGACCATCTAAAACAACAGCATGCTGACGACAATCCAGAATGACAAATCATTTAGGATACATAACATTTCTGACAAAAGCCAGACGTCTAGTCACCACACGAAAGTTCAAGTGGGAATGCAGGACCTCAAACTATTGGCCAGAGAGACCTAGACCTAGACCACAGTTTGATCTGTAGCTGGTGCCTCATCAGAAGACAGCTCCACCGTTTGCAGAGACTCTGCCTGCTGCACAGAGGCAGAACAGGGTAGAGACCACGTAGCCTACAATGACTAAGCTATTCAGATTTGTATAGAGAATTTGCTGATCTCTGACCAAGAACACTGGTTGTACATCTGTTCTAAAGTCTTAGAAATCACTGAGGACCGGAGCTTCGGCTAACGTGAGCTTCTTGTCAATTGATAGTCAATGGATTTGTAATTTAAAAGTTCATTTAAATATAACACATCTACGAGCTGATAGGAATGATACATTTTCTTTAAAAATAATATTTTCCTTAAAAAGACCATTACTTATAGCAAAGAAAATTTTAGTGAAGGGGATACCTTTTTACACTATTGAAAATTTCCCTAACGTCTGGCTCAACAGGTGAGTAGATCCATTTGCTTCTTCTTCAAGCTGTTGTTTTTGTGGTTGAAATCTGAGGAAAGCGGCTCCACACAGATACACAATTAGAAGAGGGTGGGCCGTGTCACCATGCTTTGCAGGCCCTCACACCCACACTTCTCATATATCCAAGTGTGACAAGAGGTAGCTCCTTAGAAATTACCTGCATCTGAGACTAATCAATGAACTTTAATTCTACTGTAAGTTAAATTCTGTCTCACAGGTAATTCTAGTACTGACGGGTGGAGGTGGGATTGGGAGTTCGAGGCCAGCCTGGGCTACCTGGGGAAACCTTGTTTTTTTATTTTAACATTTTTTTATTTTTATGTATATGGTTGTTCAGCTTACATGTATGCCTTTGCACCACACATGCAACTGGTCTCTCTCAGCAGTCAAAAGAGGGTACTTGATCCTCTGACACTGGAGTTGCCATGTGGGTTCTGCAAATGGAACCGAGGGGAAGACCCTATCTTACAAAACAAATACAAAGTCACCTGGAGTTGGTGCATGGTTTTGTCTCTGTGTGTTTGGAAAGTATCGGTTTCCCATTGTGTGGCTATTCGAGTGTTATCTCACTATGTATTTTAAACCACCACTCTCAGCAGAAAGTTAATACATCTGATAGAAGTCGTAGCAGTGGAGTTTTCTATTCTAGTCTATACAAAATTCTATTACTCAGAAGTGTGAGTTCCATCACTGGCAACAAACACTTTGAGCTGTTTTCTTAGAAGTGACTATTGGACAAGCTTCTGTTCATTTTCAAGAAAATCCCTCCACAGTACCCAAGTCTGAACACCCATGGTTGATCTGAGAGCTACTTAAGAAATGTCCCGACTGAAAACTTGACTCCTGGTCTTCTAACAGTAGTATTGTCTAAGACCACTATTGTACTTTTGCATACTGAATACTTGATTTACTTTGTCATATGAAATATTAAACATAAATGGGTAGGGTTTAATAAAGTTGGCATACTTTACTGTGCCTGTTAACACTGTTGAGGCAGCTTTATTATTCTGATAAGTGCAGGAAAGGCAGAGCACAGCTGCTGTCTGTGCCGCCCAAGTCATGCTAAGGCATCAGTTTCAGCCATGGCTAACTGTCCCACTGATGATGTCACTCACCAGTGACGATGCCTATCACATCACAGTGTCTTGACTTTTCAGATTCTTTAAAAATACTCCAGCCATTCCCGAGGGGTTGGTGGGACACAGTGAAATTGCTGGTCCTGAAGGGAAGACCAGCCCTTGGAGGATTTCCATGACTCCTCCTGTTTTCAGTTACCTTGCAGTACTGCAGGTAAACTCTGGTTTCTCCAGTCTGCCTATGGATGCTGTCTGGCTTGTATTAGTGTATCTGAGTAGAATTATCTCATTAGGTATCAACACTTATTTATAACTATTTCACTGCAAGCTTAGGACTCCTCCTTCTCCTCTACTTCCTCTTCCTCCTCTTCTTTGCTTTTTCAAGAAGGATTTCTTGTATAGCTTTGGATGTCTTAGAACTCAACCTGTAGACTTGGCTGGCCTTGACCTTGAGATCTGCAGACCTCCGGAATGCTGAAACTAAGGTGTGTGTGGCCACCACACGACAAACCTTTCCATAGATGTTTCCCGGGAGGAGATTCTAAAAGAGGCTTAAGGAATTAAGAACTATATTCATAAGAGACAGTTACACTGGAGTAGGTCTATCTAACCAAACTATATATATTATATAGTTTTCTTTTTTGACAATCTGTTTTTTCCTTTTTAGATCTCATGGCAGTTGGATGTGAGTTCAACAGGGTCCATTATCAGAATGGCCAAGTGTTTCAGCCCCACCCACTGTTCAGCTGCCTCTGTGTGAGTGGGGCCATTGGGTGCACACCCCGCTTCATCCCCAAGCTGGCTGGCAACAACTGTTCTGCAGCTAAAGGGGGAAGGAAGACTGATCCACCAAAGTGCGGCCGGAGAATCCTGCAGCATGGGCGCTCAGCAAGCTACAAAACAATGCCAGGTGCTCCTCTGCAGGGCTGTTCCCCAGGATCACCTCCTGGATGTCCTCCTGTGCTTCTTTCTCGTTCCTTTATGCTCCACAGGCAATAAGAACTTACTGGCTAGAGATTTATAGTCAGTTAGCATTGAAGTGTTTGCCTCAGGCAGGTATATTCCGAGTATCTGAAAAGAAAACTTTACATTTTGGTGTTGAGAATAAAATACTCTGATTTTAAAAACTTACTAGATCAGGGAACTTCTAAAATCTCACACCTCTGCGTATTCTCACTCCCTTAGGAAAACTGAACAAATACTGTTCACAAGCACCTTTTAAAAAGAAAAAAAAAACCCTGTCATTTGTAATCTATTATGAGCAAGAAGTTTGACCAGTTCTTGTGTTTCCAAAGTTTTTAATATGGTACCAGGAGAAATGGAAAGTTGAGTTATAAAACTTTTTTTGGGAGTAACACATTTTTGAGGTTTAAAATATCATTTTCAAAGCTGTGGGAACAGCTACAGCATTCTCAACACTTTAAGTCTATGTATGTAGTCAAGAAAGCAAATAAGACTGCTATTATTTATCTTGAGCACCTAGATGCAGGTGTAAATGATGTTTTAACTCACTCAACAGAGAATTTTCCAGACAGGAGTCCCTCTAGGCTTACTTCATTATGTTCTTAACCAGTAAAAATTATAAGAGAAATGGGTTTTAGATATTTAAAAATATGAAAGAATAAATCCTCAGGGATTCTGCTTATGTCAGTTAATTAAAAAAAAATTACCAGATTGTTTACATGGTCTTTCAGCTAACAGAATGCCATTAGTAATGTTCCTAAGAACCCTGAAACAGTAAACTACAAAAAACCAGAGCCAACCTCCTAACTTTGGTATTTGAGACTAAGGCCTCAGTGTTTCAAAGGGTATGTTCAGTCTACCAAGACTCTCCATTGCTGACCTGTAAACCTGCATTCCTGACCACACAGAAACCTGGCCTTCACATCAACGAAAGCATATGCCTTTAGAATGTTCCTGTGATAATATGATCTACCATGGGATCTAGCTTCTGCTGGGTCAGTACAAAGCCGGCAGTGGTGTAATCCCTCCTTGCTTTTCTCAGTGCTCACAAACAGAAAGCTTTTGTTTTATTTTTTTGTAAAGATTTATTTATTATATTTGAATACACTGTAGCTGTCTTCAGACACACCAGAAGAGGGCATCAGATCTCATTACAGATGGTTGTGAGCCACCATGTGGTTGCTGGGATTTGAACTCAGGACCTCTGGAAGTGCAGTCAGTGCTCTTAACCACTGAGCCATCTCTCCAGCCCAAGCTTTTGTTTTATTAATCCCATAATTCCTTTGTCTTTAAATGAATGTTGAACAAGTTCCTGACCCACAGGCCTTGCTTTTACTGTGAGCAGGGTCACTAGTCATACAATAATCTAAGCTACCTTTACTTATTGTGGATGTGTGCTAGGCTTGTAATATGCTTCCTGCATTGAGGTCTTTAACCATTGTCTACCGTGCATGTATCTTTGTTTCTGCTTCCTGTTGCTCAGCTATGTGCACAAGCAAGGTGTCATGGTTACACTGAAGGAAGCATCACGCTGCCCCTGTCAACAGGCAGCACACATTTCAATGTGACTGATATTTTCTTAAATCTGTGCTTTGTTAACTTTCTCAACTCACCGCCTTACTCCTAAAATGTCAAGTTCAGGATGTACATTAAAGCAATGCTGTTTACTAATTTGAGCCAAGGGTCTGGTCCACTGGAGTACAACAGTCCCGTAATGGATTTTCACAGAGATGGAACATTATCTGTCTTCTTTCTGGTTTCTTCTGAGCAGCAGGCAGAGGGTGCAGGGAGGGGTGTCCAGTTCCCCACTCACGGCTCATGCGCAGTTGCTTCCCTGAGTATCTCACAGGTGATTTTAAGTGGCGAGTGTAGAGAATACTGGGGGCCTGACAGGGGATGTGACAAGCTAGATGAAACAGAAATTGCAATGACTTGGTTTATAAACTTTAATTCAGTTACAGTTTCTTAAGATGGGCCAGTGAGTCTTGCCACGCAAGGCTGCTGACCTGAATTTAAGCCCCACATAATGGGGGGGGGGGGGCAGAGAGAACTGACCACAGCTGTCCTGACCTGCAATCCACCCTGATGCCCGTGTGCCTCATCTTAAAGTTTTCTAAGACTGTATTTAAAGAGGTGGAAGAGAGCTGAGTTTATCGTGTCATCCTTAAATAGGATTTTATTTCAGATTTGACGAATCATGAATTGTAAGTACTAAGATCATACTGCTTACATCAAGGCATGGTGATGCACGCATGTTCTCCTGACGTGTGGAAGGCAGAAGGGTCACGAGTTAGAGGGCAGAGTGAGCTACACGGCAACACTATGTCTCGAGGAAAGAAAGCCCGCACAATTCTGATTAATGTCCTGAATTCCCTAATCTTACCAAATACTTATGTATTTGCTAAATGAACATCATCCACACAACAGACAGACACTGATCGGAACACGAGGCCCGATACTCTGAGGATGGGCGAGGCAGAATGATACAAACAGGTAAAGCCTTGACCCTCTAGGAAACTGCATGGGCACACCTGACTGGAAGGTAATTCAGGTAGCTGGAAGGGAATGGGGACTTAAAAGTGTAAGCTTTTACCCTTTCACGCAAAAAGCCTTAGAACTTTTAAATACCGACTTAATGCTTAAAACCCGAGTCCAGGTAAGCACATATCCGCATACGTATGCACTTCCTCCACTTATTTTAGCTTATAGGAATCTCCCACTTACTTGGAAGAAAAAATGTCTTGTGCAAGCAACAAAGTGGACCCCCTGCTCCAGAACGTGCGGGATGGGGATCTCTAACCGCGTAACCAACGACAACGGCAACTGTGAAATGAGAACGGAGAAGAGGCTGTGCTACCTCCAGCCCTGCGGCAGGAACACATCAAAGGCAGTGAAGGTAAAGTGTGAGCAGACCTCACTGAATTATGACTCAGTGGTAAGGAGTTAATGTGCACATGTTCTGGAGGGAGGGCTATGCTGGGATCTCATCAAACAAAACCACCTGACCGTGACACTCAAAGTCAAGTTATCTCAGAGGGTGACAGGTATTAATCTAGCTCAACTCTGCAGGGAAAGCTTCACCTTGAGAGACATTAAACACTCTAGGTGTCCGTCCTGTCAGTGCAGGTCTTGAACACCCAGCCTCTTGTACCCTCCGTGCATACTGTTCCTTCAGAGTAGACCTTTCTTGGTTCTTTTTCCTTGCTCACATTAATTACAGAAGTGTAACCAAAATAGTGAACATAAAATTCCAGCTGTTACACCATAGCTATGAAAACGGAAGTTCTGATCATAGACAGACAGACATACATACATACGACTTAGTTACATACGACTAGTTGTCTTGGAGGACCACACCAAAATGCTCTGTGCGTTATAGAGTAAGCTTGCCAAAGGACCATGCTATCCTAAAACTGGCATAAAACTGTAGAGATGGCCCTATTCTTAATTGAGGCAAGAGAATTATCTTTTTTTCTTTTTTCTTTTTTTTTTTTGGAGGCAGAGTCTCTTTCTATAACCCTGGCTGAACTGGAACTCACTACGTAGACCAGACTGGCCTTGAATTCAGAGACACAGCCCTTTGCCTCTGCGTCCAGATTAGTAAACAGTACCTCAATTTGTTACCTCAATGCATTTCTTTAACGTACATTCTGAACTTGGCATGTTGGGAGTCAGGTGGTGAGTTGAGTCCACAGTGAACAAAGCACAGCTGTGAGAAAATGTCAGTCTCTTTGAAACACGTGCTGCCTGATGACAGGGACAGCGTGATGCCTCCTCAGCGTAACCATGACACCGTGCTTGTGCACACAGCACATCGTTCACCTATTCACCACCACCCCAAACTGTGGGACGCGTAGTAAGGGAGCTGCTAAGTCTTAGGTAAATAAATACTTAATAAGGCATAGCTCTTGAAATGAAACAAAACAAGACATTTTCGTTTATTGTAGAACTGAATGAAGGACAGAACAAGAAACATGAGAATCTGATAGTATGACAGAGTGGGAAGGTGACGGCATTTCATAAAGAGGACCATAGGGACAGAAAGAGCTGTGACCAAAATGTCTGGATTATATAGGGAAGAGCCTCTGAGGGAGAGAAGCCCAGTCCCTGGGCTGGAGAGTTCAGGGTAGAGGGCGGGGTGTGCCAGCCATGCCCTGTAACAGGCAGGGACTGAGGGATGCTGGGAGAACCTGGAGGCCAGGTCCGCTGTGATGTTTAGCAGGTACCTCAGCAGCTCGTCTCAGCTCTGAAACTCAACATTATTAGTGCCTGAGAAATAACTATATCTAATATCTGTCATAAGGCACTCTGAAAAATTATTAAATTACTGTAATTAAACCTAAAGAATAACCTTTTAACTTTGTTCCTTTTCAGATCCCTAGAGGAGAAACATGTCAACCCACTTTCCAACTCCCCAAAGCTGAAAAATTTGTTTTTTCTGGATGCTCAAGTACTCAGAGTTACAGACCCACTTTCTGTGGAGTCTGCCTGGACAAGAGATGCTGTGTCCCCAACAAGTCTAAAATGATTACTGTTAGGTTCGACTGCCACAGTGAAGGGTCGTTTGAGTGGCAGATGCTGTGGGTCACATCTTGTGTGTGTCAGAGGGACTGCAGAGAACCAGGAGATATATTTTCTGAGCTCAGGATTCTATAGAGCCAAACAGGGAGGAAAGGTTAAGGCTAAGTCAATCATGTCATAATGAAAACCCTGGAGTGGATACACAAGGGCGAAAAGCTTACTTAAGGTATTTAAAACACAGAGAGTGACTATTCTTTGCTTGCTATATTTGTGACAATAGAATTTTCTAAAGCATATACTAATAAAACAAAAATGAATGCTTGAAAAATTTTACATAGAACTCATTTCTCGAGTATAGCCTATAATTATATAATGCACAGATAAATGGCTCCAGGTAAGGATTCCATACATAATGAAAAATATCGTGCCTTTGATCCCAGGACATGGGAGGCAGAGGCAGCCAGATCTCTGTGAGTTTGAGGTCAACCTGGTCTACAAAGTGGGTTCCAGGACAGCCATGGCTACAGAGAAACCCTGTCTCAAAAAGCATTTTACGTAGCTATAAAAAGACACAATTTAAAATTTTATTTTGTACTTGGCAATAGAGTCTATCAGATCCTATCACATAATTAGTAGAGGAGCAGCAAGAGTCTTAGAAATAAGTGAGATTGTATTATAAATGCGTCTATAATCATCACCACCCTGTTCTGTAGTCAGTTGAGAGTCTTCTAGGAAGGAGAAAATAGAATGCCTGTGATACTGTCAATAACTGTAATACTGCAGTTTTTATACCAAACACTGTAATACAAAGTCTAAACTTCTAAGACAAAAATAAACACAGAACAATCACTCAGGAAGAAAAGAAACAGAAAATAGTAGTAAGGAAGCACACACCGGATTATTTTTGCTTGAAAAGAATTTTTCCCTTAAAATTATTTCCTTGAAAGATAAACCAACCAATGGATTTGAAATATAAACTGCACTGAAAACAACATTAACGACTCACGAGAGAGGTGCGGTGACCGGAGTGACTTCCGCGCACACGGAAGATGAAGTGTGCGACGGTCACATGCTCAACCATCATAAGCAGCCGTTTACACAGTTGCTTCTAAACCGTTTATTATAAAAGTGACTGGATGCCAAGTTGTGATTCTTTGGACTATAAACATGTTATTACTCAAAGAACAAAAACTACCCTGAAAAGTCCAGACATTATATTATGTTCCTCCACTCCTAGGACCTACTTTCCTAGCATTTAAATAGAGTATGAAAGTATACAGTATAAATATAGAGGGGATATGTACATCTTTCCTGAGGTGCTCCTCACTGTGCAAAGGTCTGCAAAAGACACAAACAAAACTATAGAGCCCCCTCCAGCAGGAAGACAGGGCGCCAGGTGAGGGAGGGGGTTGCCATCCCAGTCAAAACTCTGACCCATAATTGTTCCTGTCTGAGAGAACTACAGGAATGGAAATGGAGAGCAGCCTGAGGAAATGGAGGTCCAGTGACAGGCCCAAAGTGGGATCCAGCTCAAGGGGAGGTCCCAAGGCCTGACACTATTACTGAGGCTAAGGAGCGCTTGTATAAAGGGACCTACCATGACTGCCCTCCGAAAGACCCAACAAGCAGCTGCAAGAGTCAGATGCAGATATTTGCACCCAATCAATGAACAGAAGCTACTGACCCCTGTGGCTGAATTAGGGAAAAGTTGAAAGAAGCTGAAGAGGAGGGCGACCCTGTAGGAAGACCAGCAGTCTCAATTAACCTGGACTCCCGAGATCTCTCAGACACTGGCCCACCAACCAGGCAGCAAACACCAGCTGGTATGAGGCCCCCAACACATACACAGCAGGGGACTGCCGGGTCTGGGTTCAGTCAGAGAAGATGCTCCTAACCCTCAAGAGACTGGAGGCCCCAGGGAGTTTAGAGGTCTGGTGGGGTGGGGGATCAGGGGTGGGGACATCCCTGTGGAGACAGGGGGTGGGGAGAAGGTATGGGATGTGGACAGTTGGAGGGTAGACAAGGAGGGGAATAAAATTTGGAGATTTAAATAAATAAATAAATAAATAAATAGTAGCACCAGGTAGTGGCTAGAGGGTGGAATTACAATAAAGTTCCTTATTTGGAAAAAAAAAAAAGATACTAGTAAAGCCCAGGGAGGAAGTGCCACTCCTCCACCCCACGTCGGCTCCTGCTGTGTAGCCCAGGCTGGCCCTGAACACGTCCTCCTGCATGTAGCCACACTGGGATTACATTTGTATACCACCATGTCGGGCTCTCCCTTATCTTAATGTTGGCAATTGCTAGAAGTGGTATCACACACTGGTATAAAAGACTGTAATAAAATAGAAACCATCATCTTAGATAAAATACTTCCTGATACTGTGAAAAAACAAACTGGGCTTCCTGAGTCAGAAAAAAAATGCTGAAACAGAAAGGGGACGAAACCTGATGAGAATCAGAAAAAAGTAACATTTGCTTTCTGAACTTCCTTCCTCACAAGGCCACGCTCGGCCTGGGCACATCTGGCACAGGCAGGCTCTTTGTGGGCTTCCTCCCTCACAAGGCCACGCTCAGCCTGGGCACGTCTGGCACAGGCAGGCTCTTTGTGGGCTTCCTCCCTCACAAGGCCACGCTCAGCCTGGGCACGTCCGGCACGGGCAGGCTCCTTGTGGGCTTCCTCCCTCACAAGGCCACGCTCAGCCTGGGCACGTCCGGCATGGGCAGGCTCTTGGTGGCGTCGAGGTCACTGTACTCCTGTATGAGTGCTGACAGAGAGGACACAGCTTCTGTAAAAGTGCTCTCCTCCATTCCATCAACTTGCAGGTAGTGATGGAGGTGCGCCTGTAATTGAAACATCGCAATTACCATCCCAGGAACTCTAAGACAGACAGCAATCCCACAAAGTTCTAGCAAATACTGCTAAAATGACAGGCCATTTGCCCACCTCTCCTTGGGAGCTACAGCAGCTAATGGTTGCAGGGGAAGGGGTGCATGGGGCCCACCTGTAAATAGCCTTAAGTAACCCCACCCTCGTTCATTCAAGGAACCCTAGTTACAGTGGGGTACGACACACACACAGCAAAAGTAGGAGGAAGACTCTGAAGAACAGGAGTTCAGATGGCGGAGAAAAAGAGGATGCTGGGAAATATGATCAAAGCCGTTCTATGTACATAGGAAATAGCGAAAGATTAAATAAATAGGCCATCAGCTTTAAAATGGAAGTGGGAACTTAAGTCAAATAAATATTGTGCCTAAAGATGTGTTCACCAGTGCAAGAGTGCCGGGACTGATGTGGGCAGTCTCAACCAGTTTCCAACTGGAGTTGAGACTCCCTCCCTACGGGCTTGGCTGTAACCCAGGCCAAAAGCCCAGGACTCACAAGGTTATAGGATATAAAACTTTTACCATTGTCTTGCTACATGGACATGTTATAAAACCGTCCATTTGTACTTATATCCATAGATTAGTGCTGCTTGCAATGGTGGCCACAGAAGCATTTTTTCCTTTCTTCCAGTGGACAGTGCAAGAGACATGTAACTGGTCAAAATGTGAGGAATAGCAACTGCTGAGCACCTTCTTATAAACGGACACTATAGAATCCCCTCCCCCACACCCCTGACCCAGCAAGGCTCGGAGAACACTGCAGAAGACACGCAGAAGGAACGTAAGAGCTGGAGGATGGCAGAGCATCATGAGAGCGTGTGCTCTGGACATGGCATGCCACAGTGCTCTGAACTCACAGCAGCTATGGCCTCCTGCACAGACGACGCCTGTCAGTGGTGTGACATGACTGGGGAGGGGCGCATGAGGCCCCACCTCTAATGCAGAGCTGTGGAAGGCGGAGCCATTCTTGCTCAGTGATGTAGCCACTGGTAAGTTGCATATGCTTCAGGAAAATCCCAAACTGTGTCATTAGGAAAGGGGGGGATTTGTTGGGTAAAGGGGGTCCAAAGGGAAGGGGAGGATGAGTGAAGGCAGGGTGGGGTGAAATACTCAAAACATGCCCTATACACATGTGGAATTGTCAAAGAATGATTTTTTGAAAACAAAATTAGTATACTGCCTAAGTCCTACAAATACATGGAATTTCTCATTTATATTTGAAATAGCACAGGTGAACGTCTCTTGCATTGCAACTAGGTAAGAAATATTCCGGACAGCTTTAGCCCTGAATCCCAGTGGTGTAATATGTCTTAGCCAAAGTAAATGCAGTCAACAAAGGAGTGTACTTACCTTTTTCTTGTAGAGCCGCATGAACCTTTCTCTTAGCTCCATGAAGGTGGGCTTGACACACGTGTTATTGGCTAATGCTAGCAACGAGTGTGAGTGGCCCACAGGTGGGACAGAGCACAGGCTAGTCTTCCAGCCTTCTTGGTTCCAGGAGACAAACTGCAGAGCAGGTTTTAATCTGAGATTCAAAACCCCAAAGGTAATAACTACGTTACTAAAACTGCCACCTCACAGCAGCTCAGCCCACATACACTAAACAGGGGCAGGAGCAGCTGCACTGGTCCAGCTGTGCCGCTGGGATCCGCCATCTGTGTCTAGAACAGGCCGCATCACGTGACAGAATGATGACGCACACACTTCATGCTTACAAAACAAGGCTCTGTACCCGAAGAGTCACTAACCTAAGGTTACATTTTTATGGTAATTTAAACAAAGGCTTTTGTAACTATTACATTGTCCCAAACTGTACACATAAATTATCTTAAAAATAAAAAACCAAGCCGGGCAGTGGTGGGGCACGCCTTTAATCCCAGCACTTGGGAGGCAGAGGCAGGTGGATTTCTGAGTTTGAGGCCAGCCTGGTCTACAGAGTGAGTTCCAGGACAGCCAGGGCTCCACAGAGAAACCCTGTCTTGAAAAACCTAAAAAACAAAACAAAACAAAACAAAAAATCAACCAAACAACAACAAAAAACCCAAACCTTTCAATATTTCTGCGAAGATCAGAAATCTGTACGTTTCCTCTAACGATGAGGGCGCAGGCGAGGTAGAGACTGTGTCTGGGGTCTGCTTGGATGAGCTGGTGATCTTTACTAAAGGCGTCTGAAAACATCTGATCCAACCTACAAGGAAACGGCCAGTGTTCATCAAAACATACCTTCTTCTACATGGCCTTGTAACATGCACACTGGCATGATGGCTGTGGGTCACCCATACAACAGCAGATGTAGAAGACCAAACAAAACCCAGGAAACCCTCAACAACAGAAAACGAGACCAAGGCCAGTCCGTGCAACATTTAAAAGTTCCTTGTGGATTTTTACTAGCACACTTTAAAGAAAAACAGCCAGCACAAATTGTCATGATTAAAATTAAAAATGTTGATACAACTATCATTTCTGTCTAAATATACCAAGCCGATTACTTCACTGACTTTGAAATATTCAAGTTCAAGAACCAAGTCAAACACATTCCTTTTCATTATGCTGAACTTAGATATAAGGATTAACTTTAAATATAGACATTCCATTACAAAATAGTTTACCACTGCTGGGCGGTGGTGGCACATCCTAGCACTTGGGAGGCAGGTGGATCTCTGTGAGCTTGAGGCCAGCCTGGTCCACAGAGTGAGTTCCAGGACAGCCTGGGCTTCTCAGAGAAACCTTGTCTTGAAAATATGAAAAACAAAACAAAAAAACAACAAGAAAAAAGAGTTTACTACCAATTTACACTGGGTGTGTCAGTGTGTCTACATTAAAAAGCTCATTCTTCTTAAACACAATGAGTTCTAACGATACTAGTGGACAGTCAATGTTGTGATCCATACTCTACACAGGACTTCTCTTGTTGAGATCATTACAGGATCCCTGACAGATAAGGAGTCCTATCTACTGCCTGGCACAACGGGCCACTTGCTATTCACATAAGTAAAATTTACTAATATTACCTGTAATATTCATTAAATATAGAACTGTTAACTTTCCAAAAATTTAACCATTAAAAAAAAAAAAAAGAGTATATGAGGGGTGGAGAAATGGCTCAGTGGCTAAAGGCAGGTATTTCTTTTTCAGAAAACATGAGTTTGATTCCTAGCACCTACATAGGGCAGCTTACAACACACTACTAGGGGATCTGCTGCCCGTGGCCTCTGCAGGCACCTGTATTCATTCACTCGCATATACATATCCACAACATACACATAATTTAAAAAAAAAAAGACCCTTAGAACAATGACAAAAACCCTTTGAGCCCACAAGATGGCTTAGCAGGTAAAGGAACTTGCCATTGTCAAGCCTGACAGCCTGGGCTCAATTCCTGGGCCCATCATTGCCAAGATGATGAAGAGAACTCAATCCCACAAGCTGTTCTCTGCCCTTCAAACACACCATAGTACACACAAAATAAAAATCTAAAATGTAGTAAAGTTAACAATAAAAAGTCTTTCATTTAGAGTCTTCCTATTAGAGTTCGGGAGACCCTTCTACCTCTTTCAGCAGTGAACACCAGCACGGGTGTTTCAAGCCCATCATCACCGTACATGAGTGTGTATGTGTTTTACCTGTGTGTGTCTGTGCACCATCAGTGCCTGGTAATCTCTGAGGCCTGAGGAGGCCATCAGAACCCCTAGAACTGGGGTTACAGATAGTTGGGAGCCATCATGTGGGTTCTGGGGGTTCCCAGGATTTCATGAATGCTAGGCAAGCAGGCGAGAGACACCTCCAGACAGGAGTTTGTTTTTTCTAAGAGGGCATCACTATGGTTTCCAGGCTGTCCTGGAACCCGTGAACATCCTTCCTCTAACCCCTAAGAACTCACATTAGAGGTGTGCACTACCATGTCTGGCCTAAGAGCATTTTTTTTTTTTTTTGAGACAGGAACTCACACGTAGACCAAGCTGGCGTCTAACTCAGAGATATGCCTGTCTCTACCTCCTGAGATCTGGGATTATGAGTGTGTTATCATGCCTGATGCTAAGAGCAACTTGAGGTGGGTGACCTGAGAATGACAGCTACTATATAAAACAGGTACTATATAAAAGCCTCCATGGGGTGTGACTGTGGTAAGAACTTAAAGCACAACTCTTCATCTACCCCACAAACAGTGACAGAGGATTTAAGACTCTGCCCGGGGTCTTATAGCTGGGGATGAAGTCAGCACTCAAACCTGCTGCATCCTGTTCATCTTTAGAAGCCTAAACATTTAGTTACCAGGTCTCAGTTTAATACTCACATTTTAAAACAATTTACTTCTAAAGAAATATTTGACTAATGAGAAATGACTGTCACCAGCTATGTTTTTTATGATTCTCACCAGTAATAACCTGATACAAATAACCTGAGTTAATACAAACTTTCCCTGAAAAGCTCTCGGGCAATGGAACCCAGCTGCACCTCACCTTCGGGGGGGAATGTTAACATCGGCCAGCGTGTAGAGAGGTGTCAGGCTTGACACGAGATAATGAAGCTTCGGGAAAGGGACCAAGTTCATGCTGATCTCATTCAGGTCCATATTGAGGGAGCCCTCAAACCTCGCAGAGCTGGAAGGCCAACGGAGGACAATGAGACAGACTTTCATTTAAGACGGTAATTCGGCAGTCTATGTTCTCAGATCCTTGGCTGCACTGGTCAACAGAGCAGGACAGAGCTCTCGTTTCTGAATCACAGACAGTCGTGAGTAGAGCGAGTTAAAATACAACATAATCCTTAGCAAACCTTATTTCTAGATTTCTAAAGTGCAAGCAGCATCTATCACACCTGCTCATTACACATTGAAAAGCATCTCATTTAAACAGACTTTATATTGAGTTAAACACACACAGGTCAATTATTCACTGTGGAAATTTTATTAAATGTATTAAGGGTCTGTTTAAAACATAATCACAGATCATAATTGTGATCTTAAAAGCTTGAGCTTGAGCCCCAAGCATGGAAATGTTTTGGATCGGATGACAGAGATGTACAGATGAGCTGGTTTACAGCAGCGGCAGCATGACTACACTGAGACTGCCTATCACGGGACACCCACGATGTCCTACATAACAAAGCTGGAGAAGTGCTGGGTTATTACCCCAGCACATGAAAATATAACACAAAACGAGCGTCTGGGCAGCACAAATTGGCCGTGATCCGGGGGGGCGGGGGAAATCAGACAGGAAGTTGGGTAGGAAGAGGGACTCGGAGGGCGAGTATGACTAAATCTGTTGTTAGAAATTCTCGAGGAACTAATAAACTGGTGTCAGACCAATCTGAAGAAAAAAAAAGGAAGAAAGTCCCTATGACTTAGAAGAACTTTAAAGCCTACTGGGCCTATAGCTGAGTGGTCCGGTGCTTGCTTCAATACACTCAAGGGCTAGATTTAATAGTCTCCTGAAATAAACAAAGGAATGCGGCACAGTAAGCGTGACAGCACCAAGCTGGGTGCTTTTGCAGGTGTTCTGAGAGGGCTACCTTGTCAGGCTGAGGAGCAGGTTCGCCACAATGTTGTTCATGGCGTCGAAGGGCTTCTTGTGGCGCGTTTTAACAGCGCCCATGTTCGAAGTAATGAGACTCTTAGGCTTCACAGCTGAGCCCAACTTTCCAGAATTTACCACAAGATCAATTTTGCTAATGATGTCAAATAAAGACTTGAGAGAAAAAAAAAAATTGGGTGAGAAACTATTAGTGAGACTTAGGTGATATTTTCCTAGCAAGAAAAAAAAACTGTAAACTTATTTGTACTCTTAGCTGGAAAAGGTTAAAGTACTGAACAAGCACAAAGGGACGTGACAAAGAATGGCATTTATCTGAGATCCACCCGTGACGTTCAGCGCCACTTCTTACTTGGTTGTCAATGGGCAGCACACAGTCTGCGTGCTCACTGAGCTCCCTCATGGCCAGCATGCTGTTATAAGGCGAGGTGATGACATCGTCCTCGCTGGAAGGATAAACCGCTGTCACAAACCGGTACACTTCTGGGAATTCATCTTCAAGCACCTTTAACAGAAACGTGCCAAGCCCAGAGCCTGTTCCTGAGAATTACAATTTCAAAAGGAAACAACCCGAATGGTTAGAAGTATAATTCTGAGGAACCCAGAATACTTTATTTGTAGGTGTAATTTTCAACTCAGAGAGAGCACAAGCCAGGCTGCCAGGGTTCAAGTTCAGAATTCCATCTCGGGCTCTGAGCACCCGTCTGGGACGGCTGTCTCTAATCTTTTTTTTGTTTTGTTTTGTATTTTAATCACTAGATACTAAAAGAACTGAATATGAAAACTTCAACCAGTACGGCCTCCAGTATTCCTGATAGCAACTTAAAAAAACAAAACAAAAACCTATTTTGACAGCTTTGCTCTCAAGATACATACCATTTCAATAATACAGAAAATTGTCATCAAGTAACTTCTAACAGCCAATAAAACACGACCCCCCTGGAACTTACAAAGTTTCAAACACAACATGCTATCACCACTTATTTAAGAGCAGAAACTCTGGAAATCTCAACAGTAACTTTCTGATGTCTAAAGTCACAAAGTCAGAAAATGTTAAGACTAAAGGAGAAAACTGGATCCTACAACTTAGTTCTATGAAACTGGTGATGACGAGAGTTTACAAGCAGAAACAGTAAAAAGTAGTAATGTGTCAAATGCAGTTTAAATACGTAGTTTTCAGAATCTTGTCTTATAGGGCGTGTGCATGCTATGTTGTTGCATGAAAATTATATGTGTGTAAAAATAAATACGTACACACACACACACACACACACACACACACACATTGTTCGTTGTGATCAGAGTGTAAAGCCAAGGCTCCAGGAGCAGGGCATGGGCAACATTTAGCCAACATAAACCCAGAAGTCTAAGACATGAGCCTGTTTATTTATTTATCTATTTATGTATTTAATTTCTGTAACTCCATTACCTAGTCTTAAATCAGTTTTAGAAAGAAAAATTTATTATTTTTTCCTCCAGATCTTGTTACTATGACTTAAAATTAGCACATCATTTTGTTTCTGTTTTATCAATAATAGAGCAAAATAATTCCATTTTTAATTACAGACTTCTCTGGGAGACAGAGCAACACAGCTCATGTCTCCAGCTCAGGCTAGAGTGTGTGGAGCGGAGGTTGAAGGTGGTTAACAGAAGAGGATTAGCATCCTTACCAGCAAGCCACATGAGAACATGCCAGAAAAGCTCGACTCTACTTGGGATAAAGAACTAACAAACCCAGCTGGAGCTAAGCATGTCTCAAAAGCACCTACATACTATATTGGAGGGCGGCTGCAAACATTACAAGAGAATCTATATACTGCTGTGCGCGTGCTCCACTGTGTGCCGTGCTCAAGCACTGTGTATGTGTGTGCAGATGGAGGGCAAAGACAGCACCAGGCGTTAGCCAAGCGCCAGTCTCCTTTCTGCTTGACAGCAAGAGTCCTGTGTGCGCCCAGGAGCCCGTCTGTCTCTTGTTCCCTGGTTCTGGAATTAGAAGCATGGGCCCCACCCCCGCTTTTTGATGTGGGTTCTGACACTCCCACTCAGGCCCTCATGCGTGAGCATGAACACAGTACCCCTAAACTGTCTCCTCAGTTCTAATTTCACAACATTTTAAGATGAAAAGCTCAAGTGTACCGACACTGAAGCATACATACACGCTACAGGCATCCAACCTACATCTCTTGGGCATACGTATCCTAGGCCAGCCATGAACGTGGCCCAGCACAATATATGAATATATAAGAGTGTTTCTGCTCAGCTGATTTAGTCCTTGAGCACAAGCCCTGTGGCTGATACCATGTCTCACTGTGAGAAGACAGGACGCGTCTGCTAGTGTATGCTAAGCCAGCATCGGGTCTGACAAGAGGCTTAAGTTGGAGCATGAGCTCTCGCTCGCTCGCTCGCTTGCAGGGAGCGTTACCACTAGTGGCCGTTACCTCCTCCCATGGAGTGGATGATGAAGAAGCACTGTAAGCAGTCGCACTGCTCTGCCGACTTCCGGAGTTTCTCTAAAATCTGTTCCCAGTAAAGACTTCCAAAAACTTTGTGACCCACAGCCCTGAAAATAAAAATACAAATTAAAAAGAAATCCAAGCCAGGCGGTGGTGGCGCACGCCTTTAATCCCAGCACTTGGGAGGCAGAGGCAGGCGGATTTCTGAGTTCGAGGACTGCCTGGTCTACAGAGTGAGTTCCAGGACAGCCAGGGCTACACAGAGAAACCCATCTCAAAAATCCAAAAAAAAATCCTTGATTATTATTTTATGATTTTATTATTTCCTCAATCTAAAAAAGATTGAAGAAAAATGGAGAACTATTTAAATTGTACTAAGAAATCTATCATATAATAAATCCTATTCATCATATACTACATGCCAATAATTCTCAAATATCCTTATAAGCAAGCAGTACTAACTATAGTTTTTAAAACTTTATTTTCAATTTTTTTGCCAAATAAATTATAGAAATTAAGAATTCAGGTATACTTTTCTTATTTCCATTTAAACTCTGAACTGTGTGTTCACAGCAGTAAAACCCTAACTAAGATGCCTAGTCGCCTGACACATAGAATCCAAATTCATGCTATAATAAAACTATATATCTGAACTCTACATGTGAACCCAAGTAACTGGAAAACAATGGGAAATTATTTTATTTTTAAGCAAGAAAAAAAAAATCAATTAACTGTTGGGGTACATTTTCCCATAGAAGAGATTACATATTTAAGAGTCAGCCTCTGACTCAGGTTGGAAAAGAGGAGAGTCGTTTGCCTTACATCTTTCTGTTAACTCTGTTGATTTACACAAACAGGAAAAGTTGAGGAATCAAGTAACATAAGCAAATAGTTTTTAAAAATACTTAAAACCTTTAAGAATAAGAGTGTATCAGGTTCTCATGATTCATTTTCGGCTAAACAACAAGAAAGTACAAAGAGGAGTAAAAGCCATGCCGGGCAGCGCTTGGAAGCATCGTCATTAGTTAATCACGGAGGATGAGGCAGAAAGGCGGACTATGGCCTGCCTCCGCTACTCGCTACTCAGGGCAGATCCGGATATGGAAATGAATACTCAGCCTTTTCAAATGACATGCAGTACAGTCTCACCAATTATTTCCCGAGCCAGAGATATCAGTGATGAGCTGTTTGCTATCAAACACGTCTCTCAGTGGGCCTTGGAGAATTTCATTCACTACCCCTTCTTCCATGTCAATCAAAACAGCCTGAAAAGAGAATTTAAATTTAACATTTTCTTTAGTAATCTACTCTATAAACTCAAGAATTCATGAGCTATAAGTTATATTATTCTTTTTCACAATTTTAGATTAAAAATTTTCTTTATGTAATCTATTGTAAGGATTAAAAAGGTAATTTCATCCAGCTCAAAATGATGAAACCTAATTAAAAAGTGGATTCTGACTCTTAACTCTATTCCAAAAGGGGCCAGTAGGGAACAAAGGAACCCAGTAATCCTTTCAACTGAATTCTGACAGGGTCTTAGAAATCTAGATGGCAATTCTGGCCAGAAAAAAATTTCAATAAGCGTAGGATGTATTAATGCGTTTTCTCACTAGAAATTAAAATGGAACAATTACAGCTAAGAAATGTCCAGTTCAAGCGAGCTAATTGCTAAAGCCAAGGTACTAGACAGCTGGTAAAGGTGACAAGGCTCCTTCACTGTGCTCAAGTAATGCACAGGCAAATTCATAGGCTCTGACTATGCTGACGGGAGATAATCCACGCTAGAAAGAAGAACATGAGAGATAAAGTTAACAGAGATACAGCCAATATAAGCAGGAATGGTTTGCCAATAGGACCACGTGCTCCTTCCTCCTAGGACTAGGTGTTCCCTCCTTCTGGTTTTCTTTTTTACTTTCCAAAGGAAAGCTGTCAAAGAATTTAATGTGAACCATGTAGTGGCCGTCCAGCATGTGAAGCAAACTGGAAGGTGGATAAGCTTGAACACCGGGTGCGTAATGAGATACTCACAAAGAAACAAATCGTTGTTCTGAACTATTGTCCTCTCTCACTCTGTGCAACAACAAACCGCTCTAGATTGGACTGAGAAGTTATAAAATTTCCAAATCTTCAGAATTTAAAAATTTAAAAACCCAAAAATGTCCAAAGCCAAATTTACACACACATGCACTTGTGCAAGGTGCCTTAGTCACTATTGGTCTGCTGCTGATCCGATCCACATCTTTCCGAATCCGAGAGAAACTATCACAGCTCAGCAAACTGAAGGGATGCACTGACACTGCAATGCCTGAAGCTTCTGTGAGTGAACAGAAATGGCCCAACTCTTGTAAAAACAACAGAGCCACGTTACAGCCAACACTTCAAAAGCTGAAAGAACTGTTAAATTTTGCCTTACTCATCATATTTGCCAATCATCTTCCACTTCTCCAAGTACCTGGATACCATTATGCAAGGAGAGAATTTATTGACGTAGCCTACTTAACCCAGTGCACTTCAGGTGGGGCTACCACCTGGGTAGGTGGTCCTGGTGGTGTAAGAAAGCAGGCTGAGCAAGCCTCGAGGGCAGAGCCAGCAAGCAGCTTCAGGTCCTGCTTCCGACTCCTACCTGGAGTCCCTACCCTGACTCTGAAGCTCAGCTAAGGCATGGAGTGTAAGTGAGACAAACCCTTCCCCCACACATTACTCTGGTCACTGTGTTTTATTCCAGCAAGAGAAACCCTATGAAGGGACACAATGGACAGATCATGAATCAAAGACTGCAACTGTTTTTTAACATTTTTTTTTCAAAGATGTTGGATGTGGAGACACGTGCCCGTACCCGTAACTTCATAGCACTCAGGAGGCTGAAACAGGATTATTGGAAGGGTTTTTGTTTGTTTTAACCCATTAGTTTTACTTCTGTGTCTGGGTGCTTTGCCTCCGTGTGTCATGTCTGTTCCTATCATATCATGTTCATGCTTCACAGCACGTTCATCCCTAGTTCCTGCAGAGGCCATGACATCACTGAATCTCCTGTAACAGAGATTCTGAACTCAAACCCTGAGTTCTCTAGAAGAGCAGACAGTGATCTTAACCTTGACGCCATCTCTCCGGCCTCATGTAAATGTTGTTTAAAGGTTTTTTATTATTATGATTTTTTTAGTGTGTGTTTTCACGCATGCATGTGTGTATGGACATGACTGCAGGTGTCCGAGGAGGCCAGAGGTGTGGGACTGCCCTGGAGCTGTGGGCAGCTGTCAATCTGCCTCAGTGCTGTATTCTGATCTGCTCTGCAACAGCAGCAAGAAGAACTGCTGACGCTGACAGCTCTCTCTGCTCTCTCACAATTATGTTTATAATTGTGCTCCTTTTTTAAAAACATAAATAAGTTATTAGGGGTGGGGATTGGTTAATTCTAGGGCTTTTCAAGGATGTATTGAATAATATGTAATTTTTTCCTTAAATGTAGACATTACACAAACAAGAGTCTTGACTGAACAGAAAAATTGTTTACAAATTGTCTAAGATTATAAAACATTACATCAGTCTTGTTCCAAACCAGATTTGGTACTGAGCATGGAAGTTTCCAGATAGGTGAGCCACAGCACCTGTGACTGCTTTGCTTTCTGTCATGGAAACAACATGGAGAGCACACACTCTAATGTGGGCCTACCTGAGTGGGCTCTGACAGGATCGGCACTGCCCTAGTAACCCACCTAGCTCTTCTGATCTTCCCTGAGGCACACGGAGCGCTTGGTTTCTCCTTCCTTTGAGAAGCAACCAAAAGTTGGGAGTGTTTTTGATTCTTCGCCTCAGGCATCCCAGTCTGCAGTCGCAACTGTTCTAGTAAGGCAGAAGTCTAGACTCCCTTCCAGAGCTGCGTGATAATGACCAGAACACAGGATTTACAGCATTCCGTGTGCCTGCTGGGGTATGACAGGGTTCACAGCCACCCGCATACCTGTGATTCAGTGTTATCTAGCCCACTGTCGTTCAGTTTCTTTCTCTCTGACATTGGGATGCCAGCTCTCCACACACATAACTGAGCTCTTTCTTACCATCACGTCAGTGAGCAGCGGAAGGGAACGAGGACACTACTAGGAGAGGATAAAGGAGCACATTCCTGGAGAGCCCTTCCATTCTCTCCTCAGGAGCCTGGTGCTCTGTGATCACAGGTGAGTCCAGGCTTCACAGGGGCTCCCTCCACTGTTCACCATACTCATCGACTGCCCTGATGCGCAGACAGTTTCTCCTTCAGTTTTGTTTTCCACCAGAGATTACCCAGAGAAAAACAGTTTTCAGGAGCCACCCTACTGCTCTAGTCTTTCTGGAGTCTGAACTGCAGCACCTCAGTTCCTTACCTAGTCTTAACTGCCTTTCTTTTTCTAATAGTCAGAGACCAGTTAACAACCAGAAAGGAAAAATAAACTGTAGAGAGACAATGAACTCAAATGCCACTGCCATGTTACAAAGTAAAAATCCCAGAGGATGTATCTTACCCGTGCTTTCAAAGAAGATATTCTTCCTCTGGAAATACTGCCACCATCCCCAACCGCTCTGAAAGGTGAGGAAATTGAGAAAGGGCTGTAAGATTTGTCAGGGCTGCTAGTGATACTTTCATTACACATAAGGCAGCTCTCTCTTTCTCCCATATTGATCCAGGGGATCGAACTCACGGCTTCAGCTCGGCAGCAAGCACCTTGACCTGTGGAGCCATCTTGCCAGTCTCAGTCCCTGTTTTTGAGGCATTTTTCTGAACCCAGAATATCTGAGTTCCAGTTGTGTGAGATAAATGTGTATCTTTCTTGTTTAAGTTACTGCTAATTAGGTCTTCTGCTGCAGCCTCACATGTTAACTGATTTATATCATAGCTATATATAGTTTAGTGAAAGTACTGAAACCTATGCATATATACAGTGTACCAGTCAATGTAGCTCACAAGACAGAGACTAGACGGAGAGACGCTGGCTAAGCTGGCTAACCACAGGCAGCACAGACCAGGAACGAGTAATCCTCAGGACAATTCCATTAGCTCCTATCTTGCTGAACAGAGTTGTATCTGCCATTCCCACTCCCATGCCCACTATCCACGAGGGCAGGCGAGTCGCTGCAGCGAGGCCTTAGGGTCTGGGTTGTCATAGAAACAGTTTGCCAGTGTCGACTGTTGGTAGCTCTTTATCACATGTTATTCAAAAGGATTAACTTGAAAGAAAACCCAGTCTTAAGACCAACTGTCAATATGTAATACATTTTCTTTCATTAACTTAGAGAGAATTTGGTTTCATTCTATCATTTCTTAAACAACATTTTGTTGTTGTTTCTCTCCCCCTCTTACCATGCCCTCTTGTGCCCTCCTATCCCAGAGCTTCCTGTTTTCATGTCACGGGTGACCTCTGCCACTACCTCAGCCTGTCTCTTAGTCCCCCTCATGATCTCCTGTCCATTCAACTCTGTAATAATCGGCTATCAAGAAAGGGAGGCTGGAGGTGGAACCAGGAAGGGAAGCATGTGAAAGGAATATTGCAAAGGCAAGTTCGAGTACCTATGTAAGGGAGACAATATTCTAAGTCTCAAATAAGTAAAGTAATCTAAAGAACAGCCCTCTTCCTGTAATCACAACGCTGCCTGCCAGTATGGAAACTCACTTTAATCCTTAATCTCACACCTTCTGAATAGCATGTTGCTTTGGCAGAGTTCTTCCAAACAACAAAAAAAGTATGCTTATGACTCAAAAGGACTATCTAGCCTGAGTTTATATTGTCCACCACTAACAATGACTTTCCAAGTTTTAACCTCCCGGTTCTTTGAATTTGCCTAACCTGACTGTCCTGGAGGCTCTGGGATTCATTAAAAACAAAACAAAACAAAAAGTCATGTTTCCTGAGAAGATAACAGCTCCAATACCTAGTCAAACCAATTCAAACTAAATTTCTACCAAGTTGGAAAAGCCCGATATTTAATCGTAATTGTCAGGACAAGTCCACTACAGCTGGTTTATAAAGAACTTTGAAAGTGTATGACAACATTAGACCACGGGCATATCTGAAATGTTAAAAGAATCCTCACACTTGTATCTTACAGTAAACAAAAAGTGACGCATGCTGTGAGCAGTTGCCACCTTTCTTCTCAGCATATTCTTAGGGCAAAGAATCCGCAAAACCTTTCAAAAACTGGTCACTGCTAGACTCATAACACGGTAGGTACCCTCAGTGAAAACGGCAGTTTTCCCAGACTGACACATCATTTCAAAATACTGAGAGTCTCTTTAAAGGTTCTTTTTGGCTTACTGAAGTCAGTCAAGGAAGCCTGCTGTTCTGCAGAACGGTATGAAAATGAGACATGAGAATCCACTTTCAATCAGAACAGCAGACAAAGGAGACACGGTCTTAGCTGGGGACTGTTTGTTTATCCTTTAAGGAATCCTTCCATTCTGCTGACAGGGAAAGGATTCCTAACAAGCAGAGACAGACTTTCACCCGCTTACCTGGTATCCACATTCCTGAAGAAGCTGCTAATTGCATCGTCATAAATTCCTTTCTAGAAACAAAGCAAACTATAGCATTTAAGTTTATTTTCTCTAAAGCCCTTGTAACTGTAGCAATTCTACAACACTGAAAGGGCTCTAAGAAAAAGAAACCTAGGTCGACTCTTCCAATTGCATCTAAGGGTAAAACGCCAAGAGAACTCCTAAGTTTGACATCACCTATAGCATCTACGGTCTTTCAAAACAAGGGGGAGGAAGTGCAGGTGGTGGTGGTGGAGGAGAAGAAGACTGCTAAGGATTAGGGAAACTTAAAACCAAACTCTTTGGCGAGTGCTTTTTACCTGTGACTTACAACAACACGGGTTTAAAAAGAAACTAGCCACGTTCCACATGAGAAGATCCTATGCAATTTATGGTACAGATTAAAAAGCCCAAGTGAGCTGGGCATGATAGTCGTGGTCGTGGGGAAGCACAGACAGACAGATCGCTGCAAATTCGAGAACTAGCATGGTCTACACAGCGAGTTCCAGGTCAGCTAGGGCCCCGACCAGGATCCAAAGCACCCCTCCCCAAGCCTCAGGTGAACTCTGCGGGCAGGTCCGGGTGACGGGCAGGTGGGGGCGGGTACCTGATTGACCGCGGCGTGCTCCCTCAGCGCCAGGTCCCAGAAGCAGCAGCCGATCTGGTTCCCGCACTGTCCGACTGCAGCCAGCAGCGAGGAAGAGAGAGGAGCGCATTAGGAAGGTAAACGGGTGACTGCGCTCCGCAGCGACCCGTCCCCGCCGGCGGGGGTAGCTCACCCTGTACGACCACCGACTGGGTCATTCCGCCGGGAGGACCAGCAGGAGCACTCCCGCCCTCACTCCCGCCTTCGCATTCGAACTCAACAAGGCGCAACGAAGGGCGGCCTTAAGTCACGTCGCTGCCGCAAATAGCCAAGGTCGTAATGCCCTTGTTTCTTTACGGCGCAAGATTTTAGCGCAAGCGCATTTGCGGCTAGCTGTTACCATAGCGACTGGGCCTCCGGCAGGTAAATCCTAGCTGCCCTGTCAACATCCTTGAGCGTCTGCAGCTCCGGAGGCCCTGGTAACTGACGGGTAACTAGGTTTCGGAGTGGCCTTTAACATAAGGGACTTTAACATTGATCACGGGTTTTGAGAGGCTCACAGTCTAAACAGTAGGAGAGTGGGTCCGGTTCCTCGCGATGTTGCCCGTAGTGTCGTTATCTAACAGAAAACGAATGTCGAGGAATCTCAGGCAAAACCCCAGGCAAATAGGCTCATCCGAGAACAACGGAAGCTCGTTACGTCCCGACCAAATACCGCAGCTAAGTTCAGAGGCCAGAGAGACATACTTCTCAAACTAACTTTTAAGGTTTCTGGATAATTCAAAGCATCCACACAGAACCAGCTTCCAACAGCCGGCAATGCCATTGAAGATACACACGATGCACTCAAAAGACAGGACCTAAAGTATTAGGGGGCGCTGGCAAGGAGAGCAGTAATATTCAGTGGACAAGGGTCTAGGGAAAGAAGAGATGGGCTAAAAGTTAAGCCATTTGGTTTGATGTATGTACAATGTAGACAAGATTTTTTTTCTTAAAAGGCAGGGGTGGGGCACAAAGTTCGAAAAAACAGTTATTTTTCAGAAATTAAATTTTTACTGAACAAAGCAAAAGAGGTTTTAATTAAGAACTAAATTAAGAATTTAGGCTAGAGAGATGGCCCAATCAGTAAAATACCTGCCTCTGAAGCATGGGGACATAAATGCAGATCCAGCACTTAACAAAAGTCTGGGACCCTGTAACCCTAGGCTTGGAAGGTTGGAGGAGGGAGGATCCCCAAAGTCTAGCTGAACCTATGAGCACCAGATTCAGGCTCAATAGGAGACAATATCTTAAAAAGTAAGATGAAGAATGACCAAGGAAAACACTTCCATACATGTGCACACACACAAATCCCCTCAAGAACTCTAATGCTTTCAGGAAGTTAATATTTTCCACAAAATTCTGAGACACTACAAAACCTTTAGTCTTCATTTAGCAAATGTTAAATTATACTTACTGTTAATGTGTTGTGATATGTGGTATGATGATAATGTGACTTCAGCCACAGTATTGATTGGTTAGAACACCTTATTCTGCCGCCAAGATACGACTTAGCTTGTTATTGCACAGTTTTGAAAGGTGTGAAGTTTGACATTGTAGTGGCTGTTTGCATCGCTGAGGCCTCCCCATATTTCTGTTTGGGTGTCTTACACTTCTGTTCTTACATCTCTTGTAATTAAGGGGTAGATTTTAGCCAGGAAAAATTAGAAATTGATGGATTTACTCTTACCTACTTCTCGGTAAGCATATAGTCTGTGATAAAGGTAGTCAGACACTTTGGGTCTTAATATTGAAGTGCCCAAATCTGGGGCTCTCAAAGTTTTCCAAGTGTAGACAAATGTGTAGGCCGTGATGTTACTAGGTCTGATCGGTGGATTGTGTGCCAGCCAATGCACTTGGTGTTCTGGCCTTTGCAGAGCCCCGCCCATGCTGTAGTGCCTGTCATTCTCCAGAAGCCACGCAACAGCAAGGAGTTGTAAGAAAGTCCTTACGAGCTTCACTAATCACTTCAGTCTGGAGTGAATCAGATGTGCCTGCTTCATAGCCAGGTGAGGTAGTGCCTTGTGTTGCAGTCACACCAGGACCTTAGAGTGTGCATGTTCAGGTGAGCCAAGATGGCAGGCACGGCCTATTGGCAGCTTCTCTACCATCTTACAAGCAAGAATATTTTTTTTTTTATTAAAAAAAAGTTATTCAGATTTTGGGGTGCAATTGTATTTGAGTGATAACAAATTAATACATGAAATAAACTCAGCAAGATTTTGATTGCTAAATAGAAGCAAAAAAAGGCAGCGAGGGTCACGTAGGTTGCTCCTATAAGTGGAAGGAAGGAAGAAAGGAAAAGAGGAGGAGGAAGGAAGGAAGATGACTGTTAAGATGGATGATGTGCGTGGTATGAGATAAAATGTAATCTTGGGGGAGAAAACATTTACGTAAGTATTTCGTGCTGCAGAGCTAAGCAATGTAAAAACACAGGAACAATGTATTGAAAACATACGGCTGATTTTGCCGGCCTACTGCCATATGTCCAGGACTTGGAACCTTGTCTACTATGCAGTAGATAGTAACTAACTGTTGAAAGAAGTAAGGAAACAAGGATCAAAGCGTGGTAAAGGATTAAAGGACAAGTTCTAAAACCATGGAAAAAGCAGACTAGAGAAATGAAACCAAATCGCTGACGTAGAGGACAGGCTTGAAGTAATCAGAGAACTCGGAGGGAAAGGCAAACCTATCAAAACTGTTAAACATAATATTCATGGTGGAGGCACAATGCTCTGCACAGGATCAATAAATACCTTGAACTAGACAACACAGAATGTACAAGGACAAATGTTCTCAATGATATAAAAACAATGAAAAAATATATGGGTTAAAAGGACACACCGTATTCACGGCAATGCTCCTATAGAGCAACACCAATGACGACATCGTGGTTAAGTTCTTCAGTTTTTAGAATAAAGAATTCTTTAGGATTCTGGGCAAGAAACCAGGAGTGGGGTGGAGAGAAATCGATCAGGCTCCTTTATGCTGGTCTATAATAGGGCATATCTTTAAATACAACTATTATGTAATGTTTCAGCAGTTGTTGGAGATTCTATCCTAATCCCAAGGCAAAATTCATTTAATAGGGCTAGAGAGAAGGTTCAGCGGTTGAGAGCATTTGCTGGTCATCCAGAGGTCCCGAGTTCAATTCCCAGCAACAGCATGGTGCACAGCCATCTATGATGGGATCGGATGTCCTCCTCTGTCTGATGTGCTCTTCTGTTATGCAGGCACACGTGCAAATAGGGTGCTCATATACATAAGTGACTGCATCTTTACAAATTCATTTAATAGTTAAAAAATGAAATTAAAGTCAGCAACTGAAACATCAACTGTAGAAGTCAAACATTCTGACATGGTGCAATTAAAAAATATACTATTTGTTACATGCTGAGGGATGGCAATGGGAAACAGTAAAAATCATTGTTTGGTATAATTATCCTGTAATATTTCTATAAGAAGCAGGGAATTTTGCACATACAACACACTGCAGTTAATAACCTACCGTCTCAAATCTGAGTTGGGATGTTCTGGCATTGTGTGTCTTGATGATGTGCAATGTGTGTTGTGCACTCAGAACCAAGGCTACAGTGAGAGTACAAGTACAAGAAAAGCAAGCACCACCAGATACGTGTCAGGTTTATCATGTGCTGATCGCTGTGTGTTTAGAAACCTCTGGTGGTTGTTAGATGTCTCACTTAGTTACATGACTCCACAGTTTAGGAAGCCACGGTCTCTTAACACATTTAGTAAAGGACATCACTGAAAAACCTCTACAGAGGTTTAAGGAGAGTCAAATATGTTCAGAGAAAATCAAAATTCTATGGCTCTCCAAGTTGTCATATACGTGAAATTTGATTTTGTGGTCACCTATCCACATTTATTCTTGTGGTACACTGTCATTTCTGAATCCATCTCTTGGGTAACTTGACAGTTAGCAGCAGTTAATAAGATTGTCTTCCAGCCTTTTTTTTTTTTAAATAACACTTGAGTCCATTAGCTAGATGATCTGAATTACAAGTTATTACAGTTTTCTTTAAAAACATTTTTCAGGCCTGCACGGCAACAGTTCCCTATAATTTTGGCATTTAGGAGGTAGATACATAGAATATCTATGGGGTTGAGTCCTGCCTGGTTTATTGAGTGAATTCTAGGCCAGCCAAGGCTGCATAGTGAGACCCTGTTTCTTGAGGAAGACATAGATCTTTGTTCTTTAAGCTTTGGGTAAGACTCCTTGTCAACTGCTGTCCCATCAGTAATGCACAGTGGGTATATTAGCATCTGTGTTAGGACCTAAGTCAGTACGAATCAGGATAAACTCTGTGTGCCGTAGGAACAACCAGCCTTCCAATTCATTCAGCCTTCCATTTCAGTAGTACCTAAGAGCACACGATTAGCTTCTGTATGTCTATCATTATTTGGTGCATTTTTGGTTAAGTTGATGAATAATAGTTGTACACATTTACTGGGTACAGTTGGAATATGTCTATGTACTGGGTGATAAAATTTTCATATATTATCTCATATACTTTTGTAGTAAGAACACTTAAAATTATCCATTTGTAACTTACTATAATCTTCACGGTATTCAGAAGATTCTTAAAATTTCTTTTTCTACTGAAGCTTTATACTCCTCTGATAATTGCTGTTTTACTCTCTTCTCTTACATGGTTAAGCTTTTAGCTCTCAGTACGCAAGTAAGGCATGTGGTGTCTATTTTGCTGTGCCTGGCTTATTTTATTTAACATAGTGTCTTCGAGAGGCTCATTCATGTTGTAAACAACAGGGATTTCCCGTTTTCCGTCTCTCCTTGCAGTACTGGAGCTGAGCCCAGGGCCCTGTACATGCCAGGCAAGTGCTCTACCACCAAGCTACAACGCCAACTTAGGATTTCTTCTTCTTCTTCTTCTTCTTCTTCTTCTTCTTCTTCTTCTTCTT